AATTTAATTACTTATTATATGACAAAAGAATTGCCATTATCTATAAATGAAACATGTTTTTTGAAGCTGATTATTTTGAAGAGGATACTTATATTTTAAAAAAATATTCTTGCTGACTTGGTATTTTAAATAGCTTTCCAAAGATAGAGGAAATTAAAACAAAAATACTAATCTGGTAATTGAAAAGAAATGTTTTTGGACAACCAAATGTCTTTTTGTCTGCTTGTTATTGAATACGATGATGATAACATGCATCTAAGGAGGTACTGACGATAACTTCATGATTATTAAAATATTTCAATTTATTCGTATCTAATACAAATGAAAAAGTCGTTTAATTCGATTGGATTAAAATTTGTATATCCTTCACCATAAAGAAACCAAAAACCCTTACAAATCAATCAAAGAATCAATAAAAATATGTTATTAGAATATTATATTTTATTCTAGTTAAGTAGATAATGTCCCAGGTGATGGGCTGCCATCTATGGTTACCTAGAAACAACGGGTCCTTGAATTTTGTGCAGTGGTTGGCGCTCTAGATAAATCCATTATTACCCTTCAAATTAAAAATATGTAAAACTTACTAAGCAATTTCTTCAGAATCTTGCTCTTTGTAGTCACTTATCTGTTATTATTTGTTCGGAATCTAGAACATTTAAAATTATCTGCGAAGTCGTATTTGAGAGTTAGCGTTGTATAACCTGTAACGAATGACATGAAGTTTAACTTTTTCCTGGACGAATCCACAATAATCCTTTAACTTACAAATGGATTTCTCAGTCTGACAAATCTGGAATATTTAAAATTATCTGCGATGTCTTATTAGTGTCTTAACCTTGTAGAACCTGTAACAAATGCCAAAATGAAATTTAATTTTTTCCTCGATGAATCCAATATTACCCTTTTACTTTAAAATGGCACAGATTTTCTAAGTATTTTTTTTTAAAGAAGTTGCTCTCTGATATTATTTCTTCGTAATCTGGGATATGAAATTTAGCTGCTAAGAAATTTTCTTTGAAATTAAGATCTATTGTGAAGCAAAAAAATTGTAATTTATCGATTACTTCGTCAAATATTTAATCTGTACAAAGCCTTAAGTTGGGACGTTTCGGAAGGGACTAGTTCCTTCAAACTATACCGTGAAAGGAACGACTGGAATAGTTTCCTTTCTTTATGTAGTTCTTTTATTTTATCTCGTTCCTATTTCGGAACTAGTTCCATTCAAGAAAAGGATCGATAAAGATCGAAACGCTCCGTTAACAATATCGCCCAATTCTATTTTATGTAATTATGCCTTAATCCTCACAAGGTTTACAGTTGAGTCGCTAAAGAACGAACTAATTCATTGCATATATTCCGAAAAAGGAACTAGCGGAACTAGGTCCAGTTTATAAAGGTAATCTGAAGAAAGGAACTATATTTAGGAACTAGTTACCTTCTAAACAAAAGGAGAAAGATCGATCTGCTCCGTGAACTGTGCATTTGTTTCGTGAACTATTGGAACAGTCAATTTAACTATCTAGAAAATGTATGAGCGAAGGCGCTATATTAAAGAACTAGTTCCTTTAATGCAGAAGTAACGAAAGAAACCACATCCGTTTTGTGAACAAAATTGTCCAATTTGAACAAGATAAATAAATCGATACATACGTTCATCAATGAATTTGCTAGAAATAGAGACTGTAATATGGACTATTTAGGAATGAATGAAGCGAAGCAAATCTATTAAAGAACTAGTTCCATTCCTTTCTTTTTCATTATTCAACAAACGAATCAACAAGGTACTATTTGAGCGAGAAAGAACTACGAATGAAAGAGAAGAAATTTCACCAACTAAGACTCGGAACAATGAGAGCAAGAAAAAAATTAACGACGAAAGAGTTAGATTCAATTGAACAAAATAGTTTTAATTATATAAAACTCGTCAATTCACTTGCCAATTTCTTTACGTTGTTCATTTACCAATCACTACGGAACTATCGAAACTACGTGAACAAAGAAAACATGAGAACGACGAATGAGAGAGATTCAAAAAACATATCTAAACTATGAGCGAACTGTGTGAGCAAATGCATTATCTAGGAAAAGGAACTATGTACAATGAATGAACTAGTTCCATTCTAGGAAAGTAACTAGAACATCGACCCGTGAACTAGTTAGCCAAGGGATGCAACTTACTCTAGGTGGAAGCGATTTAAAACGCCAGAGCCTTATGAAGTTTTCCGTCCCGCCAGGACTATCGAAACTACGTGAGCAAAGAAACCAAGAGAACGACGAATGAGAGAGATTAAAAAACATATCTAAACTATGAGCGAACTTTGTGAGCAAATGAATTATCCAGGAAAATGAACTATGTACAATGACTGAACTAGTTCTATTCTAGAAAAGGAACTAGAACATCGATCCTTGAACTAGTTTGCCAAGGGATACAGCTTAATCTAGGTGGAAGCGATTTAAAACGCCAGAGCTTTATGATGTTTTCCGTCCCGCCAGAAGATGAATAAATAGTCGCAATATTTAATATTATTACACAACATTTAGGTCAGACTCAAAAACTAAATGGAAAGTTATCAGTGATATTGGTCTAGGAAAATGTTCGGCTCCTGAAACGTATCATGGCGATGTGGACTAACTTAATGAAAAGTTTATTAACGTACCTTCTTCTTAGACACTGACCCGTCCTACTATGGATTTAACTCAGGGACATTAGTTGACCTTGTTAATGATGGGAATTTTGAATTCCACAGCGTTATGAATTATGAAGTTCTTAACAGCTTTAAAAAAGTTACATCTAACGCCATTGGCCCCGATGGAATTGACCCTAAGTTTGTACGAATACTGCTCTATTGTTTACTGCCATACATAACATATATTTTAAGTCCATACTCATTTTCAGCACATTTCTAAGTCGCAAAAATTATACCTATACAAAAGTCAAATACGGAATTTCGTCCAATTGCAATTTTGTGCTTCCTTTCAAAAATATTTGAAAAAATCGAGCAGAAACAAATGTCCGAGTATCTTCAAAGATACTCTCTGCTTAGTAATGTTCAATTTGGTTTTCGTGCGGGGCACAGCTGCACCACTGCTCTTATAGAATTTTCAGAGTCCATAAGATGCGATATTGACGAAAATAAGATAGGTTGCCTTGTATTAATCGGTCATTCAAAAGCTGATACCATCTTGATACCATCGACCAACAAAACTTGTGTTTTTAACTTCGTCTTTTTTAATTTGTCCACTACTTCTACCGAACTAATTATGTTCTATCTTTCAAATAGATGTCAGCCAGTTTACACTGGAACCTTGACTTCTAAACCTAGGCATTTAAAAAAAGAGTCCCCAAGGATCCATCATAGGTCCGCTCCTCTTCTCCTTATACGCGAACCATCTTCCTGATAAACTTCACCATAGTCAAGCACACATGTACGCCGATGATGTGCAAGTATTATTGAGTAGGTCCCTAAACAATATATGTATGTCAGTGTGTAGAAATTCTTAATTATGATCTTTCACGATTATGCGAGTAGGTTAAAGCTAATGGCCTATTGCTGAATCCGCTTAAATCAAAATGTTTCATCATTTACAAAAACAGAAATATATCATTCCAGCATATTGACATTCTTCTTAACAACGAAAAAATCGAACTGGGCCAAAAATCTTGGAGTAGTCCTCAACAAATCATTAAGCTGAAACAACCATATTAATGCTGTCGTAGGACAAACCTACTCCAAATTAAGCGATCTGTGGCTAACATATTTATACACACCACTATTTTTATAATATTTGTGTGATTAAAAAAAGGACTATGAGAGAGATACTCAAATGAACTATCTATGGGTCGTAACTATATGCAGTGAGAGAACTAGTTCCAAAAAGGAACAAATAAAATCGAGCCGCTTCTTGAAATCTAGCCGAACTCTAACAATGTTCGTTGTTCATAGCTTTCTGGAAGAAGTGGAAATATTATAGAAGGTTTTCTATCTTTGGAAGGTTCTCCTTTCCAGAAAGATCTTCTTCTGATGGGGTTCAATCCATAAATTTAATAACATTTTGTCTGTGGGTGATCTACAGAATTCTTCTTATCTCAGAAGTCCTAAATATTGTCATTTATCTATAGAAAGCCTAAAGATGGTCTTTCCATAAAACATTTTATTCCGAAAAGGTTTTGTATCTATATGGAATCTATGATATTCCCTTTCTTTAGATCACCCATAGAAAGTCCATGGAAATCTCTACAACAAAATCTAGAAAAATCGGGTAAAGCAATTACTAACCCTTTTTTAAAATCTGATTAAATATTGACAAATTTAAATACGTCAATATAAATTCTTCTGCGTGTTTTGGTAAAAATAAATCAAAATATGGTTAATCTATATTCTGGTGATATGGGGGGTAAGAATTATTAAAATCTCAAGGATTATAAAATAATAATAAAAATGCGTCAACGTTATTAGAATAATAACACATACAACATCGATAACAACAATTCCTGTGCAATTTTCAAAACATCACAGTAAAATTGTCAAGTATAACAGAACAATCACAAAGCGACAAAAACAAAATAGGGGGCCAATAAAATCTTTGCCACCATATAATCAAAAAACAATACCCCCCACTTAAGGCACTTATTGTCCGCATACAAGAGATTTATGATTTCTTTTTTGAATTGCTGGTAAAAATGTAAAACAATTAATAATTCTATCGTTCAGGCAATCGGCAGAGATAGTGAGGAGAATGATCGTTGATCGTATTTAAAATAACAAAATCAAAAAAAAAAAAAAAAATGTAAGAACGAAAAAAGTATTGAAGAAGGAAAATAACATTCGATAGATAAGATTTTAGCTGAATTAAAAATTTCGTTTGACTTATTTTTGGTTAGCCGTGCAATTTTTCTTATCTAAATTGGTATTGGCTTCTTGTTTTTTTAGATGGCATTCTATAAAAGCCCAGTAGCTGATTGGTAATAAAGCAGTATTCTAACTGTAAGTTTCACGAACAGTTCATACAAAATATAGAAATTCATTCAGAATGAAAACCGCTGTTGCTTTCTTGGCCTTAGTTGCCTTTGCTGCTGCCGCTCAAGTGGCCGATCCCTTCGGTAAGTTTGAGAGCGAAAAAATTAAATAAATTTTTTGGTAACAAGAGAAAATACATTTTCCCGAGATTTTTCTCCGCGAAATTCTCCAGATTTTTCCCGCGAAAACTTCGAGATTTATCTCACAAACTTCTCAAAAGAAAAAACAATATCCGATTTATGAAAAATGATTTTTGTTTTTATGACAAAAATTCCTAAGAATTTTTCCCATGTGAAATATTTTGTGAAATTGTAAACTGATTCTTTAAAACTCAAAATATCCACATTCTGTGTCATAATATAGAAAAAAGTCTTAGGCAATTTTTCCCAATTTTTTCCCCCGGGGAATTGTTTCCCCAATAAATATTTTCCTCGGGAATTTTTTCACAAACATTTTTTTTCTCACAGCAGTTTAACATTTTTCTTCGGGTTTTAATTCCCAAATTATTTTTTTTCGCAAAATATTTTTCTTTTGAATATTTTCCCAAAAATATTTTTCTTGGGAAAAATTTCCCCAAAAATATTCTTCTTGGGAAAATTGTCCCAAAAATATTTTTCGTTGGAAAATTTTCTCCCATTTTTTTTCTTTTGTAAAATTATTTCAATAATCGATTATTTTCTTTAATTTCGGATATTTACTTCGAATTCGAATCGATTTCATAACACTGAGAGATTTTCAAAAATTCCTATTTTTTTCAGGGGAAAGTTTTCCCTAAATTGAAGGGATTTTATTCACGAGTTAGGAACAATCGGTTATCGACTTTCATTGAAATTCCATTCCGGGGAAATTCATAAAAAATCCCTGGGGAATTTTAATAAAATTCGCGGTGGAATTCGGGAATGATAAACTAAAAAAAATATTTGGATTCAAATTAAGATTACTTGCCCGAAGTATTTTATATCTTGAAATTTTTCCCTAATTTTTTCGTGAGAAATTTTCACCTTTCCCCCTATTTTTTCCGAAAAGTCTAAAATAAAGTATTTAAAAAAATAATTTAGATCAATTACAAAATATTAAATTTCCAGGAAAATGTTCCCAAAGTTCCCGGGACCAAAAAAATCTCTGAAATTTTTTGAAAAATTAACTCCAAATATGTCAAAATTTTCAAGTAAATCACCATTTAATTAAAATTCCCTTCCCTTTCTCCCAATTCCAGCTGATCGTTCCATTTCCAGCACCGTTGTCGATGTCATTGAAGGTGTCCGCGATCAAATGCCATGCGGTTTCCCCGATTTGGGCATCCCACCATTGGCTCCCTTGAAAATCGCCCACCAAGATGTCAACATTGATACCCCTGCTCTCCGTTTGGTCGGTTCCGTCGATAACTTCCGTTTGAATGGCTTGAACGATTTCGATATCGCTGAAATGAAAGTCAATGCCATTACCAGCAAGGTTACCTTCCGTTTCATCTTCAACAATGTCAATGTTGATACCTTGTACGATTTCTCCGTTATGTTGAAGAAATTCGGTTTCACCATTAACATGGTCGGTGCTGGCCCAGCTAAATTCGCCATCAAGGATATGCAAATCTGGGGTACCATGAAATACTCTTTGGGTGTTTTGTCTGGCAAATTGAAGTTGAAGACCTTGGAAGTCCGCACCCACATTGGTGAAGTTGAATCCGATATTGAAGGTATTTTGGGTGAAGGTGTTGTCAACCACAAGATGAACGACATTTTGGAAGAAGCTGTTGAATTGGCTATCAACGAAAATGAAGATTTGATCACCGAAACCATTGAAGCTATGGCTTTGCCCATGGTTAACGGTGTTTTGGAAGAAGTCAAATTGGCCGATTTGGTTGGTGGTATTGGTGGTGGTGAAGGTGGTGAAAAGGTTGAATGTATCCCCCCAGCTGATAACTAAATTTTGTTGCCTCCTTTGTTAGACAAATATTTGTGTTTTTCATTATTGTTTTGTTTGAATTGAAATAATGATGAAGAAATGAATAAAAGACTTGAAAAAAATTAATCGAAAAAAAACTTAATATTTTGGAAAATAAATTTACTTATTGAAGAAGAGATTATTGAAGGATAAAAAAAAAAAACTGATGAAAAAATCTCAAAAGATTTAGAAAAATAATAAAAAATAATTCATATCGAAATATGGCCTACAAAACTTAAAATCTTAGGAAATGTTAAATTTTTTTTAAATTTTTACATAAGATTTTATAAATAGTACTATTTTGGTACCATTTGCACCGGTACGACACCAAATGGATATTTTTCGTACCATCATTAATTTAATTTTTAAAATACATCTTTACTAAAGGAATTCGGTTTGTAATTCTTGAAAATTACTCATTCGAAATGTTTTTTTTTTTTGCCGGATTTAAAAAAATGTACTATTTTTGAAACCATTTGGAATAAAAGGAAAACCATTTCGAAATGATTTCTTATTATTTTACATTTCTAAAAACATGTGCATCAATAAGTGCCCACTCGAATCTTTAATCCATGGAAACAGTACTATTTTTGGTACTTTTTGTTTCTTAGTAAAAATTAATTCAAGATTTATTATTGAAAAATCATTAGTAACATTTTACAAATAGTTTAACAAGCCTTTTTAATTAATACGGTACAACGGTACGTATTGGTAAAAAATTTATTATTTTGAGTTAGATAATTGATGTACTATAACCTATCTTAAGTGATGGGGCTGCCATCTATCGTAGCCTAGAAACAACGTCTCCTTGTATTTTGTGCAGTGGCTTGGGTCTTTACTTATTCAGCACTTTAAGTGGTATTGCCACTTATCGTAACCTAGAAACAACGCCTCCTTTAGTTTTATGCAGTGATTTGGGTCTTAACTTATTTAGTGTTGCCATTTTCCTCTGGGTGCCTCCTGACATCTGCTGCCTTTCCTATTTAATATTATCCTCATGTTGATGATACTGAGGTTGGGTTTTTTAGAATGTCAGCGATTTTTTTAATTCCTCTTTTTAGAAATATCCAAAAAGACTTTGAAAGAATTTTTCCTTCTCCGATAGGGTTTGAAACCTTGGAACCATCGGCTGCAACTACTGTTTTGGATACAACTCTGTATATACCGAATATTCTAGAATACTTTGCAGATTTTAAAATTTGTAGTACCTATTGGAGACATAAAACGATATATTGATAATTATATTGACATCATTAAACAAAGAAATTAGAAGAGTTTCAATATGTCATATTTCGCGAATTACAGCAAAGCGGAGTCGACTGTATAAATTTGCACCATATACTTCGGCTTTGCCTTTACCAATCTAGGGAATTTTAATAAATAAAATGTTAACATATTTAGTAAAAATTAGATATATGTATTGTCCTTAACGTCATTGTGTTTCCACTTGTGTTTGAAATCGATTGAGCTATTGACAAATAGATGGCAGTACCGTTTTTCAGTTAAACGGAGTAATTTCGAAGGATGCAATAAGGAACAGTAACAATAAAATAAAATAACTCATGGCAATTCATGGAGAAAAATGTTGTAAATGTAAAGTTCGATTGCACCAAATGAGTAGAAATCATATTAGAGTAACTTCGGGTAATGTGGACTATGTGTCAAATGTGGGCCACCCCCCATATCTAAGGAAATACTTGAAATATGAAAATGTCGCCTTTCCTAATTAGTGAAAACAAACATCAAACTTGATTTTTAATAAATAATTGCAATGTTGAAAATGTAGTAGTAGGAAATGTAGCTCTGACTGTAAAAGTGTGATTTTAACATTTTTTAGCACAATAGTCGAACGTTTTTGCACAGTAGCCGAACAATTTGTTTTTCTCGAATATAAAGAAGTTATGTGGTTTTGTTTTCTTTAACAAAAATATACGGTTACCTGCAATTACAAACGGCAATTTTTAATTTTCATTTATTTTTGAAGCAGATATTTTTTTAAATAAAAATATTCAATGTCAATGGGTCCTTTTTATGAGGACGATTTCGAAACATGGGCGCTTTTAATATGCGAGGAGTTATTATATCCTCTGAAAACTCGATATGCGAAATTACAGGTGCCTCGGATGAATTATGAAGGATAATGAAACCTTCAAAATATCGCAAATGGGGCGGTAACCTTAAGTTGGGGCTATAAATTGAAATTTATCACAACCAAACCACAACCTACCTTTAACTTATTGATCCTCAATACCCACACATACTGGTCCACATTACCCGCCAAGTTATTTTTATTCGCAGTTTAGAGTTTTTTGAAAAAGAATGCAACAACATTTTTATAGACAAATATATATAATGTTTGACCTGGAATATATTTAGCCAACAAATCTACTATGTTGTGAAAACAATTTGTTTTTATTTTTACCGTTGTTACGCCCACAATATGAAAAAAAGAAAATGGTGGTCCACATTATCCGAAGTTACACTAATTAAAAAATCTACGTCGGGATAGTCATAAAAACTAATTACAGTATAAACTCGATAATCCGGACCTCGCTAATCCGGATTATTCGGTAATCCGGACTGCATTTCACAATTCATTGCGTATCCTATAATCCGGATTGTTTGCAACTTGATAATCCGGATTGTGTTCAAACATTATTTATTTAGCTTTTTTATTGAAGTCGTAGCATGCCATGAAAATACAGTTAGAATTATGAGCAGCGAATGTTTTGTTGTTGCATATTTCTTTCAGTTCAGTAGTTTTGCACGATGCCTTCAGTAAAGAGGTCACACAAAACATTATCTATTTTAGATAAAGTGAAAATTGTTGAAGAACTTAATAGAGAAGTTAGTGGAAAAATATTAGCTGACAAATTTGGAATAGGCACTTCTACAATTTCAGATATTAAAAAGAAAAGTGAAAAGATTAAAAAGTGAGTAAATGTTTCTTATATTATTCAAACTTACAACACCTTTCACATTTGCAAAGACTTCTAATCGAAAGTTATTACAAAAACGCAAAACTCTTAAATATGGCGAATATGAAGAATTCGAACAATTTCTATATTATTGGTTTCAGAAGCAACGGGAAAAACAGTTACCCATTTCCAAACAAATCATTTGCGAAAAGGCAAAGACAATGTTTGTTGAAAAATATGGAGCAGAAAAGGGGTTTTCGGCAAGCTCCGGTTGGTTTCAAAATTTTAAGAAAAGGTTTTCAATCTGCGGTCTTAAAATATGCGGTGAAAAATTATCCAGTCGTCCAGATCATTTGCCCTCATTTCGCATAAAATTAAAAGAGATTATCCAATCAGAAGAACTACTTGCATCTCAAATTTATAATGCTGATGAATCAGCACTGTTTTATAAAATGCTTCCGGAAAAAAAACATTAGTTCATGAAAAATGCTCCTGGAAGAAAAATGTGTAATGAAAGAATAACAATAAATGCGGTGAATTTCTTTTTTAATAAAAACAAAAAACTATTTAAAATAACACTAATTTAATACATATTTAAAACATTTGGAAAAAAACTCGATAATCCGGAAATCTCCGTAATCCGGATTTGGGTCTGCAATCAATTATCCGGATTAACGAATTTTTACTGTATTTAAAATCCACAGGTGGATTAATCTTGATTTCAAAAATACACCATATGCTTAAACGTATTTTTCCCAATAATTGTAATTGAAGTATAGATGACGTTAGTTATAACGTGAAAACAATATGAATTAGTTTGATTTAATAATGAGATATAGATGGCGCTCCTTATAAAAATATATTTGAATATATAGTGCATTTTCAAAAAAAAAAAACTCAAATTTTACAGTTGTATTAAGCAAAGTAAAAACCACAGCGCCTAAAAATATACCCTACAAATATTTTACAAAAGTATAGTGATTGATTTATAGATGACTTTAATTTATTGATAACGTTTTAAAATATATTTTCATTTCATTTAAAAAGCGAATCCAAACGAACAATTATTATCAGCCAAATGAAGTATAGAAGTCTCTGGGTTGTTTTTGACAACCGATTACAGTTTTTTATCTCCATTTGTTACAAACGACATTTGTGTATAAATGTTTTTTTTTTTATATAATGAAACAATAGATAGCTTCTAACAAAAACTAAGGAAACTCTAACGGGTAAATATAGGAAGGACATTTGGACAAAATCAGAAAGCCTAATATTAAATTTCGCAGAGCGTACGTGTAAAACCGTGTTTACCTTGTCCAAATTATGCACATTTTAGAAAATATAAAAAGTTCTTATTCATATACAGAAACATAATGTCTTTGTGCATTCTCTTTATATACATCGCTGGAATGTGCTAGATAATAACATACCATTTAAAACTCAGTACAATTTGAATGCGCAATACATTATTATATGTCATATATCCATCTATAGTTCAATTCCTTCCTATTCCTTATTAGTGTTTATGTGCATACTTCTAGGATCAAAATTATGGATTGTTTAATTTCATGTTGCAGTGGCGGCTAAAATTTATTTAAATTATTTTAATTATAACTTTGTATATGTTTTTTATATATTTAAAGTCTATTATAAAGTATACAATGGAATTCATTCCAAACAAAATTAAGAGGTCGGATGTTTCAGTAGATATTTTTAATTCATCGTAAGCAATCAATATAAATCTACGGAACATCTTTCATATAGAGTTATAGATATCGTAAAAGCAATTAATCAAAATCAATTATCATTCATCTGATTTCCCAAATTACATTTTCCGAGAACATTTTTTCCCACAATCGTTCAGTGCAAACTTTTGGGAACTAAAAACTAGAATATTGTTTTATTGTTTGGAAAAAAGCAACAAATTTTACTAAAAATAAGTAAGGAAGCAAATAAGAAGTATCAATAATACGACATCTAAATATATCTTTAAAGATGAGCCTCGTAAAAATTAACCGACATGTTTATCTGCAACAAATTTAAATATCTGAATGTGTAATATTGATATTTTACATAGAGGTTTCTGATATTCAGGTTTTGTATATGCGAGAGAGGTCATTTGCGAAGCTATAAAAAATTATAGTATTGTATTGTTCCGTATAACGAGCTCCATCTATAGTTCAGTAAAATATTTCTTATTAATTTCTATGTGTACAGGGCATACTTTTAGGGGCAAGCATGGAAACTGAATTTTGGAGTTTTAGTATGGGACGGAATGAGTTGTATTATCAAGTCATAAGATAATCTAGGGACTCAAATATGCCAATTAATAACATTTAATATGAAAAGCTTTGGATAAAACAATACCCAATATTTTATTATACGTTATGACGAGCTCCATCTATATTTCAATTTACGATTGTATTATTAAAAATAGTATGCATACTTTGGGGCGCAAAATAAAATACACTTTCATGATGTAGCTATACCTATGAGGTAAATGTAATTAATATTAATTGACGCATGTAGCTTGATAGTTCTGGTTCCAATTACTTTTGGATAAATATTAATATAGTTTAATAAATTGTTGAAAAATTTGCCTTTACCAACACTCATCTTTTTATATTTTAAGTATTATACATCACGTATAAGAGTGTAAAATACATTCTTGAAATTTTAATCTTATCACATTCGAAGAAAGGAAAATTAACTCCTTATCATAAACATTATCGACATTTTTACTATTTTGACTATTTATTTATTGCCATACCTTTTTGGCTAATCCATCAATAGATTTGAAATTTGTATTGATTTTTTTTTTTTATAAAATTCTAACAGCAGTTAATTTTCTAGTTTAGTTTTTTCACTAAATTCGTGAGGTAAACACCTGACATTTTTTCGAGAAAAACATGAAGTACTTTTTGGTGTTATTGGCTTTAATGCCCTTGGCATTGGGTCAAAAAGAAATTTTGGAAGTAGCCGTTGCTGGTAAGTGTTTAATCGGATAATCGCATAACAAATGGTGATATAATGGGTGAATGGTTTTTGGAATAAAAAAAGTCAAGAAGAGGCTCGTTATAAGAAGGCTGTATTGAAATGTGGGTGTGGTTGTTAATAAAAATATTTCGAAGAAAATATAAATATGAAAATTCGAAGCTTTATGGGAAATTAAAGTCTTTTAAAGGTTAACAGAACCTCTTTATACCTTCTTCAGGACATGCATGGCGTATATTCCCATTAAACCGAGGATTTTTTAAACAATATTTTTAAAGGTCCAACAAGGCGTGGTTTTATTAAATAATATTTTCTAAGGCCTCTTCAAGGATTGGATTTTTAAAGAATATTTCTTCTAAGGCCTCTAGAAGGCGTGGCTTTTTAAAAAAAAAATTCTTAGGCCTCTAGAAGCCGTGGCTTTATTGCAGAATATCTTTAAGGCCTCTACAAGGCGTGGCTTTCTTAAAGAATATTTTTTCAAAGGTCCAACAAGGCGTGGATTTTTGAAAGAATATTTTTAAAAGGTCCAACAATGCGTGGATTTTTTAAAGAATATTTTTTCAAGGGACCAACAAGGCGTGGATTTTTTAAAGAATATTTTTTAAAAGGTCCTACAAGGCTTGGATTTTTGAAAGAATATTTTTTCAAATGTCAACAAGCGTGAACCTCTGAATTGTCTTAAAAATATCCACACTGGGTATCCTTATAAAATATTCTTCAAAAAATCCACACTTGGTGGTCCTTAGAAAAAATATTCTTCAAAAAATCCACACTTGGTGGTCCTTAGAAAAAATATTCTTTCAAAAATCCACGCTGGGTGGTCCTTAGAAAAAATATTCTTCAAAATATCCACACCTGGTGGTTCTTAGAAAAAATATTCTTTCAAAAACTCCACATTTGGTGGTCCTAAGAAAAATTATTTTCTTATAAATTCATGCCTGATAGTCCTTAGAAAAAATATTTTTTTTTTAAATTCACGCTTGATTGTACTGAGATTTTTTTTTTTAATCCACGCTTGATGATTCTTACAAAAAATATTTTTTGAAAAATGCAGACTTGGATTTTAAAACATATTTTTTTAAATATTTTTTGAAATTATTTTTTAAAATTACTACTAAAAATTCAATTTTTTTCTCTTTTCAGCCCAAGATCGTTCCATTTCCAGTCAAATTGTCGATGCCATTGAAGCTGCCAAAGAACAAATGCCATGCGGTTTCCCCGGTTTGGGTATTCCACCATTGGCTCCCTTGAAAATTGCTCACAAGGAATTGAACATTGATTCCGATGCCCTGATGGCCATTGGTGAAATTAACGATTTCCGTCTATACGGTTTGAATGATTTCGACATTGTGCAATTGAGAATCCAAGCCTTGTTGCGTAAGGGTACCTTTGAATTTAACTGGAATCATGTGTATTTGGAAACCGATTATGTCATGACCACTAAAGTTAGCGGTGTTAAAATGACCCGTAAAGGCAAGGCCAAATTCGCTTTGAAGGATCTCAACATCCGTGGTGGCTTCAAATACTCCATGGGCATTTTGGGTGGTTCCATCAAATTGAATTATTTCGATTTGTACATTTCTGTTGGTGAGGTTAAGTCTGAAATTAGCGGTCTCTCCAAGATCCCTATTATCAACAGGAAATTGAATCAAGTCATTGAGGAGTGGGTCTATTTGGCCATCAACGATAATACCGAAAATGTTGCCCTCTTGACCAATGGCTATTTGGTACCAGCTGTTAACGAAATGATTGCTGATATGACCTTGGGTGATATTTTGGGTATGGTTGGTGGTGGCGGCGGTAGCGGTGGCAATGGTGAATCCGTTGAAAAGGTACCATGTGTTCCACCAGAGGAAGATTAAATTTAAATTGTTCGGAATGTTTTATTATCAAAAAAAAAAAATTGAAATAACAAATAAATGTTAAAACCAAAACTATTGAATTGTCTTTCAATAAATCACTTGAATTATCATGCAGATTATTAAAAATAGCAAACAATGTTCTGATAAAGGTAGTTAAATCATTGCGGGGTGGTACCACCCAAAAATTAAAACAATCGATAAACAGTGGAATTACAAGTGGATGTCAAATCGAAGATAATAAAATAATCTCAAAAATAAATCACATTCTTTGAAAAATATGACGTGAAAAAAATAAGAAAATATTCATCCATCCGATAACGATTGATATTTTTAAGAATATTTTTTCTAAGGCCTATCAAGGCATGGACGTGGATTTTTTAAAGAATATTTTATCAAAGATCTCTACAAGGCGTGGATTTTTTAAAGAATATTTTATCAAAGATCTCTACAAGGCGTGGATTTTTTAAAGAATATTTTATCAAAGATCTCTACAAGGCGTGGATTTTTTAAAGAATATTTTATCAAAGATCTCTACAAGACGTGGATTTTTTAAAGAATATTTTTTCTAGGGCCGAAAGAATGTTTTCCAAGGCCTATGGAGGCGTGGATTTTTTTCAAAGAATATTTTTTCGGGGCCGAAAGAATATTTTTTCTAAATCCTATGAAGGCGTGAATTTTTTTAAAGAAGTCGAGAATTTTTTAAAGAATATATTTTCTAGGGCCGAAAGAATATTTTTTCGAAGGCCTATGAAGGCGTGGATAATAAAGCAGCAGGTGCCGATGGGTTACAAGCCGAACTATTCAAGACTGGTGGTCAGATGCTGGTAAGGAGCATGCACCAGCTGATTAGTACAATTTGGCTAGAAGAATGTATGCCCTATGATTGGAACCTCAGCATCCTGTGTCCCGTGCACAAAAAAGGAGACAAGACGATATGTGCCAACTATAGAGGAATAAGTCTCCTTCCCATCGTATATAAAGCGATATCCAGTGTGCTGTGTGAACGACTGAAGCCAGTGGTCAATGACGTTATTGGACCATACCAATGTGGCCTCAGACCTGGCAAATCCACCATTGACCAGCTTTTCACTCTGCGCCAAATCCTGGAAAGCCCTACGAAAAACACATCGACACATTCCACCTATTCGTCGACTATAAAGCCGCATTCGACATCCCTATCCGTTCAAAGGTGTATAAAGCAATGTCTGCGTTTGGCAGTCCTGCAAAATTAATTCGGCTCTGCAGGATAACTTTAACAGGCACAAGATCAGCAGTTAAAGTCGGAAAGGATCTCTCGGAGCCCTTTAATACTGAACGAGGATTCAGACAAGGTGATAGTTTGTCGTGTGATCTTTTTAACATCCTGCTGGAAAAGGTCATACGAGAGGCAAAATTGAACAGAAATGACACTCTGTACACCAAGCAACACATGTTACTCGCCTACGCCGATGACATCGACATAATGGGTTAAACATTGAGAGCGGTAACAGCTACCTTTGAACAAATTGAGAAGGAGTCTGCCAAAGTGGGTCTGGCAGTAAACGGCGAGAAGACCAAGCCGATGGTATCAACGCGCAAGACGTCCAGTAGACTCGGACCAACTGTGGAACTTGAGAACTACAGCATCGAGTTAGTCAATCATTTTATATACCTTGGTACCACCATAAATAAAATTAATGACATCAGTTTTGAAATTCGGAGAAGGATAGTGTCGACCAACTGATGCTACTTTGGTCTGAGCAGGCAACTCAAAAGTAAAGCCGCCTCTCGCCAGACCAAACTCACATTCTACAAGACGCTGATACTACCCGTGCTGTTATATGGATCTGAAGCATGGGTACTTACGCAAGCAGATGAGGCAGCTCTTGGAGTGTTTGAGAGAAAAATTCTCAGAAAGATCTATGGGCCTATCAAGACGTGTATTTTATAAAGAATTCTTTTTTTCTGATGTATATCAAGACATGTGTTTTTTAAAGAATATTTTTTCTAGAGCCGAAAAAGGCGTGGATTTTTAATAATATATTTTAAAGCGTGGATTTTAAAGTTTATTTTTTCAAAGGACCAACAAGGCATGCATTTGTTAAAGAATTCATTTTTAAGGACCACAAAAGGCTTGGATTTTTCAAAGAATGTTTTTTAAAAAGACCATAAAATGGTGAGTATTTTGTTAGAAATATTTTTTCTAACGGACCAATTCTATGTTTTTTTTTAAAGAATAATTGTTCAAATAACCACAAAGTCTTCGAACTTTTTTTAAAGAATATGTGAAAATTTAAAATGAAATCGTTGATATAATAAATAAAATTAATACCGCACTACCATCTATATAATAATTTTGATACTTACCACATTTGCTCTTCTTTTTCATATTTTCAAAGTAGACATTTTGTGAACCGAGTTGTAACAGGGTGTTATGTCGAATTGTTTATAAACACAAACACAGGATGAAGGTGAACAATGACCCACACAAATTCACGTGCAAACACAGGGTGTAGCCGAGAAAAGAATGACAAATGTTATATTATCATAGACACGAACCGAATTAAACATATATTTACAGTAACTAAGACGGCGGATTTGACGTAAACACAGGGTGTGACACATGGTGGTTGATTTGTTTGCCTAATTCACGAACACACACAGTATTACAAAACAGAGTGTAGCAAACAATGCCTAACCAAATTTCCCTTATTATGTAATTTTCCCAAAAGGTATTTGAAAAACACCCCGAAAATTTCAATTAAACACAGGATGTAGATAGGAAAGATGAGAAAGAAAAGTCTAATGACAGGGTTCGTCGAAATTATTTAATATGGAAATCCTATAAGTTTGTACACCGTGAGAAATATTGGTTTATTATTGTGGAATGTTGGACATAGTGGAAATTTAATTTATAGATGTACACCAATCGAAAATTTTCAAATTTACTTACTGCAATTAGAGCATCTCACAGAGTATGGATTTAAGCGGGTACATACCTGAAATAAACAGAGAAAATTAATAAATTAGTCAACATTTCTTAATGGGTGATAACGGCAACAGGAAGGGATTACAACAATAAATTACCTGTTTACCGGAAAACTGGATTGATGTGGATTATCAGGGTAAGAGTACATCGATAAACTTAAGTCTTTGTATGTGAAAGACTGGTTTAATAAATAGCGGCCGACGTTCTATGACGGCCAAAAACGTAGGTTTGAGAAAGACCGCGTAATTGGTGCGAAAAAATTTTAAAAAAATATATTATCGTCGTCCTTCAAAGGGCATTTATGAGATGGTCGCAGCTAACGAATCATGGATCTATGAGTATTAGCGTGAAAATAAACAACAATCGACCATGTGGGTTCTCGTAGACAAAAAGCTTGCTTTTTTGGGCAAAAATGGTTATGAGACAACTGTTCCGCTTGAGTAACGCAGGACGCTTTGACCTGCAAAGCGATTATCTTATCTTGAAAAATACTCTTTAAGGGAACCCCCCCCCCCCCCCTTCTTGATTTTAATTTTTCAAGATTTTGAATGGGCTGGTAAATCAATACCAATGCTTGTTAGGGTTTGTAACTTTGCACATATATATTTGAAGATTTAAAAAGGACGAAAAATAATTTACAAAATTTTTTGTTATTGTTTTGTTGTTGTTTTTTGTAATTAAAGAAAAGTCCTTATTTTTATGGCGGGCATGATAACTCCTCACTGGAACATCGGTGTTAGAAAGAGTACATGTCTGGCTCTCGTATGAACTAGGATTATTGACTTCGCTCTAAAATCACTGGAACATCGGAATCCGAAAATTCCAACGGTGTTAGAAAGAGTACATGTCTGGCTCTCGTATGAACTAGGATTATTGACTTCGCTCTAAAATTAACAAAATAGCGGACCTTTGAAAAAATATTTTTGGAAAATTGCCGATTTTTGACCAAAAACCAAGTTAAAAAATAAGGAAGATCTTCACCGATTGGCTTTATCCTAGTTCTTACGATAGCTATACACTCACAGAGAAACGTGTAAAACTTTGGAATCGATTGGGTTATTAGTTTTTGAGTTATCGTGCCCGCCATTCGCAAAAGAGAAAAACGCGTTTAAAGTTCGAGAAGCCCTTTAGCCGTCACTTGATGCTGACACAATAAATCGGCTATATCTTCGAGAGTTCTTGAGATTTTCACTTGAAATTTTGTAGGGACATTCTTGAATTAGTTAGATTCAAATTAATTAAAATTTTTTAACCCGAGAATGGGGGAGTCCCCTTAAATAAAATTCGTGTCATTCGGAAAACGGGAGTTTGACTGTTATATATACCATTTACGTGAAATCGGATAAAGTTAAATATACAATGCAAACGTCTTTGGTTCTCACTTTACGTGAAATCAGTCCAAATATTTATTAAAGCTATACCTAATAATCGACCGATTCTCAATAATAATATAGACATCATTTAGCAAAACACAAATTTTCGAATATTAAACCGCTATCAATAGCTTAAAAATCCAGAAAATTCGGACAATACGGAATCGGACAGTAAAAATAGTGTGTGTACGCAATCTTACACAATGGTACCAAGGAAATGGTCTGATCTAATGGTCTTCATAGGAGAGTGACATATAGTAAATTGTACATCGCCATCCAGAGTCGCGGTATTCATGAAGTGAGGGGGTTTCCTCTTGGAATGAAATCAAATTAAAGCAATCAAGGAATTGAGAGCTTCGTCAATTTAAAACCAGTAAGGAAAGTAGTAAAGTCATTTTTGTACTTTGTGCAATTTTTTTATCAATTTGACAAAATGAGGAGTTTGGTGCACCATTTGCTTTAAATCGGGCAAAAATATATATGAAAGCTATATCCAAATCCGAACCGAACGTTGAATGTTATACTAACATCAGTACCTTTTGAGCATATCGGCCATATTTTGAGTCCTTGGTGCAATATTTACTCCACATCGGACACAAATATATATGGAAGCTAAACTATCTTTAGGACGTTGCTCAAAATTGTATGCCTACAGGCCA